GCCCGAGGCCGGATTTCCCCGTGAGTCCCTGCCCCGGGCGGTGCCGTGCGGCCCCAGGCGCTTCAAGGGGAGCCTGCGGAGGAGAGGAAGGGATGCAGAGGGCTGCAGGGGTGTGTGCTGCGCCCTGGGACCGCTTCCAGGGACGGGGGCTCTGCGGGGGATCCTGCTGGAGACCCCAGCTCCGCGTCGAGCAGGACAACGGGCAGCAGCAAAGCAGGGAACAAGTCTCCGCAATGGGTTTTCCTTTCTTGCCCAAATTTCCTGCCCCCAAGCTCTCTTTTTCCCCATGTATTGGCGGAAACAGTACTTCCTCCCCCTCTCCTTCCAACCCCTCCCAAACTGGAAACAGCTCAGTCCATGTAAATCAAAAGGATTTTCCAAACCTGGGAGCTGGGGGCAGGAACGCTGCCCCTCTTCTCCTTGGAGTTTGCATTTCCACCTGCATTTTGCAAACTCCTCTTTGCCTTCCCTTAGCAATAAACCCTGAACTGCTCTGAGAGGTGAGTGCCCTTTCCCTCTTTGCACAAGCCAATCCCAGCGCCGTCCTGGCTCCATGGGGGACACACACCTCAAGAGGTTTTGCTTTCCTGCTGCTCTGTGTGTGTTTGCAGTCAGGGCTTTGGCCCCATTTGCAGACAGCCCATCCGGGCTGCCATATGCTTGCCACCAAGGCTCATGACAGCTGAGAGCATCGCCCCATGCATCTGCCTGCCCCTGCCTGGGACAGATCCTTCCAGTGCCCCAAGCACTGGGTTCAGAATGTCACTGGGTGGTGGTTTTGGCTGCCCTGGGTGCTGCCTGCTGGGGTGAACCAGGCTATGGTGCCTTGGCTCCTCCTGGCCTGTTACCAGCCTGGTTGCTTTTAAGAGCAGGATGCAGCGATGCTGGGTTTGTCCTTGCTTCTGTCTTGGTCATCTCGCAGATTCGCAGCCCCATCTGCTGAGGGAATTGGTTCTCTGTTGCTCAAGAGAAAGAAAAAGCCCCCAGCACAAGAGGGATGTGGAGCTCTTCAAGAGAGTCCAGAGGAGGGCCAAAAAGATGCTTCGAGGGCTGAAGAGTTGGGGTGCACCTGGACACCCCTGTGTGGATCGTGGAGCACAGCGTGTGCAGGAAGGCCCTGAAACCATGCACATCAGTGGTAAGGGCCAGAGGTCTGTGGGCTCCTGGACACGTAGAAGGGGGGATTTGGTGGGATTTTCAGCAGCCCCCGCCTGGATTAAATGCCTGGGATGGGGAGGAATGTGTGAGCTGAACTGAGCCACCCCCCCATCAGGCTGAGGCCCTTGTAGATGAGATGCAAGGATGAGAGCTGTCAGTAAGTGCAGTCATCAGCTATTTATTCTGGTTGTTCATGCAATACATCAGTGTGAAGAAGAAAGGCAGACCCCCCCACCCGCCACCATTACCCTGCAGTAACCACAGCACAACGCAGCTGCTTCAAAGCCTCTGCTCAGCTGTTAGGGGAGCAGAAAGGTGCAACCAAAAGCTCTGAGTCTACAGAATTTTTTGGGTTAGCTTTTGGTGGTGTTTTTTTTTTTTTCTCCCAGCCTTGAGGATTTTCAGGCCCCAATGAGATTGAGATATTGGGAGTTTTTAAGGGGTTTTGCCTTGCAGAAGAGTCACGCCACAGGGTAGAAGAGATAACAGGGACATAAAGGATAGAGGGACCCAAGGAATCCAATTAGAGCAGGAAAATGAGTACTGCATTATGGCAGCTGGACATAATGTGGGAATAAGGTGGATAGACATAATGCAGGAAGGCAGAGGCTTCAGGTACTGCGGTAACTGCCTGCCTACCTACAAGCTGAATATGGTACATGGAAAAACCACTTGACACCCTCTCAGAACACCCTGTTAAACTGTGTAGAGATTCCTCTCACGTGTTTGTACTGAGGTCGTGGCAACTCGCTCTTCCCTTTCACGTGCCTGGCGGTAGCGACGATCATAGACCTCAAGGTCCAGCTCCCGTTGGCGCTTGACCCTTCTCTCCCCCGCGGGCTCTTCAATCTCTCTTTCCCGGTAAACCCTTCTCTCTTCCTCTGCATCAAGACGCTCCAGGTCACGCTCCCTCCTTTCCAGATCCCCACTGGCCTGCAGTTCCCGGGACACGCGATGGATCTTCACGTCATCTTTTGCAGCCACTACATCCGTCTCTCGTGTCCTCTCAAGCCTCACAAGGTCGAGTTGCCTCCTTCCATCAATTTCAGCCTCACGTGCTTCAAAATCACGTCTCTCACATGTCTCTCTCTGGTTGATGGTGGCACCTCGCTCTTCCCTTTCACGTGCCTGGCGGCGTCGACGCTCAATGACATCCAGATCGAGCTCCTGTTGTCGCTCAACCCTTCTCTCTCGCAGAGGCTCCTCTCTCTCTCTTTCCAGGCAAATTCTTCTCTCCTCCTCTGCATCCAAACGCTCCAGGTCACGCTCTCTTCTATTGACTCTGTCACGGGGCTCCAGTTCCCGGGACACGCGATGGATCTTCACATCAGCTTCTGCTGCCAATACATCCGTCTCTCGTGCCCTCTCAAGCCTCACAAGGTCGCGTTGCCTCCTTCCATCGATTTCAGCCTCATGTTCTTCAAAGTCACGTCTCTCACGTCTCTCTCGTTGGCTGGTTTTTGTACCTCGCTCTTCGCTTTCAAGTGCCTGGCGGCGTCGACGCTCAATGACCTCCAGATCCAGCTCCCGTTGGTGCTCAAACCTTCTCTCTCTCAGTGGCTCCTCCCTCTCTCTTTCCAGGTAAATTCTTCTCTCTTCCTCTGCATCCAAACGCTCCAGGTCACGCTCCCTTCTTTCGAGCTCCTCACGGGGCTCCAGTTCGCGGGACACTCGATGGATCTTCACATCAGCTTCTGCTGCCACTACATCGGCCTCTCGTGTCCTCTCAAGCCTCACAAGTTCTCGTTGCCTCCTTCTGCTGACTTCAGCCTCATGTTCTTCAAAGTCACGTCTCTCACGTCTCTCTGTCTGGTTGATGATGGCACCTCGCTCTTCCCTTTCACGTGCCTGGCGGCGTCGACGCTCAATGACATCCAGATCGAGCTCCTGTTGTCGCTCGACCCTTCTGTCTCGCAGAGGCTCTTCCCTCTCTCTTTCCAAGCAAATTCTTCTCTCTTCCTCTGCATCCAAACGCTTCAGGTCACGCTCCCTTCTTTCGAGCTCCTCACGGGGCTCCAGTTCCCGGGACACGCGATGTATCTTCACATCAGCTTCTGCTGCCAATACATCCGTCTCTCGTGCCCTCTCAAGCCTCACAAGGTCGCGTTGCCTCCTTCCATCGATTTCAGCCTCACGTGCTTCAAAGTCACGTCTCACTTGTCTCTCTCGTTGGCTGGTTTTTGTACCTCGCTCTTCCCTTTCATGTGCCTGGCGGCGTCGACGCTCAATGACCTCCAGATCGAGCTCCCGTTGGTGCTCAAACCTTCTCTCTCTCAGTGGCTCCTCCCTCTCTCTTTCCAGGTAAATTCTTCTCTCTTCCTCTGCATCCAAACGCTCCAGGTCACGCTCCCTTCTTTCGAGCTCCTCACGGGGCTCCAGTTCGCGGGACACGCGATGGATCTTCACATCAGCTTCTGCTGCCACTACATCGGCCTCTCGTGTCCTCTCAAGCCTCACAAGGTCACGTTGCCTCCTTCTGCTGACTTCAGCCTCACGTTCTTCAAAGTCACGTCTCTCACGTCTCTCTGTCTGGTTGATGGTGGCACCTCGCTCTTCCCTTTCACGTGCCTGGCGGCGTCGACGCTCAATGACCTCCAGATCGAGCTCCCGTTGGTGCTCAAACCTTCTCTCTCTCAGTGGCTCCTCCCTCTCTCTTTCCAAGCAAATTCTTCTCTCTTCCTCTGCATCAAAACGCTCAAAATCACGCTCCCTTCTATCGACTCTTTCACGGGGCTCCAGTTCCCGGGACATGCGATGGATCTTCACGTCAGCTTCTGCAGCCACTGCATCAGCCTCTCGTGTCCTCTCAAGCCTCACAAGGTCGCGTTGCCTCCTTCCATCAATTTCAGACTCATGTTCTTCAAAGTCACGTCTCTCACGTCTCTCTGTCTGGTTGATGATGGCACCTCGCTCTTCCCTTTCACGTGCCTGGCGGCGTCGACGCTCAATGACCCCCAGATCCAGCTCCCGTTGATGATCGACCCTTCTCTCTCGCAGAGGCTCCTGTCTCTCTGTTGCCAGGCAAATTCTTCTCTCTTCCTCTGCATCAAAACGCTCAAAATCACGCTCCCTTCTTTCAACCTGCTCTCGGGACTCCAGTTCCCGGGACACGCGATGGATCTTCACATCAGCTTCTGCTGCCAATACATCCGTCTCTCGTGTCCTCTCAAGCCTCACAAGGTCGCGTTGCCTCCTTCCATCGATTTCAGCCTCATGTTCTTCAAAGTCACGTCTCACTTGTCTCTCTCGTTGGCTGGTTTTTGTACCTCGCTCTTCCCTTTCAAGTGCCTGGCGGCGTCGACGCTCAATGATCTCCAGATCCAGCTCCCGCTGGTGCTCGACCTTTCTCTCTCGCAGAGGCTCCCCTCTCTCTCTTTCCAGGTAAATTCTTCTCTCTTCCTCTGCATCAAAACGCTCCAGGTCACGCTCCCTTCTTTCGAGCTCCTCACGGGGCTCCAGTTCCCGGGACACGCGATGGATCTTCACCTCAGCTTCTGCAGCCACTACATCTGTCTCTCGTGTCCTCTCAAGCCTCACAAGGTCGCGTTGCCTCCTTCCATCGGTTTCAGCCTCATGTTCTTCAAAGTCACGTCTCACTCGTCTCTCTCGTTGGCTGGTTTTTGTACCTCGCTCTTCCCTTTCAAGGGTCTGGCGGCGTCGACGCTCACTGACCTCCAGATCCAGCTCCCGTTGTCGCTCGACCCTTCTGTCTCGCAGAGGCTCCTCTCTCTCTCTTTCCAGGCAAATTCTTCTCTCTTCCTCTGCATCAAAACGTTCCAATTCACGCTGCCTTCTTTCAACCTGCTCTCGGGGCTCCAGTTCCCGGGACACGCGATGTATCTTCACATCGGCTTCTGCAGCCACTACATCCGTCTCTCGTGTCCTCTCAAGCCTCACAAGGTCGCGTTGCCTCCTTCCATCGATTTCAGCCTCATGTTCTTCAAAGTCACGTCTCACTCGTCTCTCTCGTTGGCTGGTTTTTGTACCTCGCTCTTCCCTTTCAAGTGCCTGGCGGCGTCGACGCTCAATGACCTCCAGATCGAGCTCCCGTTGGTGCTCAAACCTTCTCTCTCTCAGTGGCTCCTCGCTCTCTCTTTCCAGGTAAATTCTTCTCTCTTCCTCTGCATCCAAACGCTCCAGGTCACGCTCCCTTCTTTCGAGCTCCTCACGGGGCTCCAGTTCGCGGGACACGCGATGGATCTTCACATCAGCTTCTGCTGCCACTACATCGGCCTCTCGTGTCCTCTCAAGCCTCACAAGGTCACGTTGCCTCCTTCTGCTGACTTCAGCCTCACGCTCTTCAAAGTCACGTCTCTCACGTCTCTCTGTCTGGTTGATGATGGCACCTCGCTCTTCCCTTTCACGTGCCTGGCGGCGTTGACGCTCAGTGACCTCCAGATCGAGCTCCTGTTGTCGCTTGACCCTTCTCTCTCTCAGTGGCTCCTCCCGCTCTCTTTCCAAGCAAATTCTTCTCTCTTCCTCTGCATCCAAACGCTTCAGGTCACGCTCCCTTCTTTCGAGCTCCTCACGGGGCTCCAGTTCCCGGGACACACGATGGATCTTCACATCAGCTTCTGCAGCCAATACATCCGTCTCTCGTGTCCTCTCAAGCCTCACAAGGTCGCGTTGCCTCCTTCCATCGATTTCAGCCTCACGTGCTTCAAAGTCACGTCTCTCACATGTCTCTCTCTGGTTGATGGTGGCACCTCGCTCTTCCCTTTCACGTGCCTGGCGTCGTCGACGCTCAATGACCTCCAGATCGAGCTCCCGTTGGTGCTCAAACCTTCTCTCTCTCAGTGGCTCCTCCCTCTCTCTTTCCAGGTAAATTCTTCTCTCTTCCTCTGCATCAAAACGCTCAAAATCACGCTCCCTTCTATCGACTCTTTCATGGGGCTCCAGTTCCCGGGACACGCGATGGATCTTCACGTCAGCTTCTGCAGCCACTGCATCAGCCTCTCGTGTCCTCTCAAGCCTCACAAGGTCGCGTTGCCTCCTTCCATCGATTTCAGCCTCATGTTCTTCAAAGTCACGTCTCACTTGTCTCTCTCGTTGGCTGGTTTTTGTACCTCGCTCTTCCCTTTCAAGTGCCTGGCGGCGTCGACGCTCAATGACCTCCAGATCCAGCTCCCGCTGGTGCTCGACCTTTCTCTCTCGCAGAGGCTCCTCTCTCTCTCTTTCCAGGCAAATTCTTCTCTCTTCCTCTGCATCAAAACGCTCCAGGTCACGCTCCCTTCTTTCGAGCTCCTCACGGGGCTCCAGTTCCCGGGACACGCGATGGATCTTCACATCAGCTTCTGCAGCCACTACATCTGTCTCTCGTGTCCTCTCAAGCCTCACAAGGTCGCGTTGCCTCCTTCCATCGGTTTCAGCCTCATGTTCTTCAAAGTCACGTCTCACTTGTCTCTCCCGTTGGCTGGTTTTTGTACCTCGCTCTTCCCTTTCAAGGGTCTGGCTGCGTCGACGCTCACTGACCTCCAGATCCAGCTCCCGTTGTCGCTCGACCCTTCTGTCTCGCAGAGGCTCCTCTCTCTCTCTTTCCAGGCAAATTCTTCTCTCTTCCTCTGCATCAAAACGTTCCAATTCACGCTGCCTTCTTTCAACCTGCTCTCGGGGCTCCAGTTCCCTGGACACGCGATGTATCTTCACATCAGCTTCTGCTGCCACTACATCCGTCTCTCGTGTCCTCTCAAGCCTCACAAGGTCGCGTTGCCTCCTTCCATTGATTTCAGCCTCTCGTGCTTCAAAGTCAGGTCTCTCGCCTCTCTGTCGTTGGCTGGTTTTTGTACCTCGCTCTTCCCTTTCACGTGCCTGGCGGCGTTGATGCTCACTGACCTCCAGATCGAGCTCCCGTTGGTGCTCGACCCTTCTCTCTTGCAGAGGCTCCTCTCTCTCTCTTTCCAGGTAAATTCTTCTCTCCTCCTCTGCACTCAACCGCTCCAGGTCACGCTCCCTTCTTTCGAGCTCCTCACGGGGCTCCAGTTCCCGGGACACGCGATGGATCTTCACGTCAGCTTCTGCTGCCAGTACTTCTTCTTCTCGTGTCCTCTCAAGCCTCACAAGGTCCAGCTCGCCTTGGCGCTTGAGTCTTCTCTCCCTTGCGGCCTCTTCAACCTCTCTTTCCCGAAAAACCTTCCTCTCTTCTTCTGCATTCAACAGCTCCAGGTCATGCTCCCTCCTTTTGAGCTCCTCACGGGGCTCCAGTTCTCGGGACACACGATGGATCTTCACATCAGCTTCTGCTGCCACTGCATCAGCCTCTCGTGTCCTCTCCAGCCTCACAAGTTCTCGTTGCCTCCTTCCGCTGACTTCAGCCTCACGTTCTTCAAAGTCATGTCTTTCACTTCTCTCTGTCTGGTTGATGATGGCACCTCGCTCTTCCCTTTCACGTGCCTGGCGGCGTCGACGCTCAATGACCTCCAGATCCAGCTCCCGTTGGTGCTCGAACCTTCTCTCTCGCAGAGGCTCCTCTCTCTCTCTTTCCAGGCAAATTCTTCTCTCTTCCTCTGCATCAAAACGCTCCAGGTCACGCTCCCTTCTTTCAACCTGCTCTCGGGGCTTCAGTTTGCGGGACACGGGATGGATCTTCACGTCAGCTTCTGCAGCCACTATATCTTCTTCACGTGTCCTCTCAAGCCTCACAATATCCAGCTCACGTTGGCGCTCGAATCTTCTCTCCCTCGCTGCCTCTTCAACCTCTCTTTCCCGAAAAACCTTCCTCTCTTCTTCTGCATCAAAAAGCTCCCGGTCACGCTCCCTTCTTTTGAGCTCCTCACGAGGCTCCAGTTCCCGGGACACGCGATGGATCTTCACGTCAGCTTCTGCTGCCAATACATCCGTCTCTCGTGTCCTCTCAAGCCTCACAAGGTCGCGTTGCCTCCTTCCATCAATTTCAGCCTCGTGTTCTTCAAAGTCACGTCTCACTCGTCTCTCTTGTTGGTCGGTTGTTGTACCTCGCTCTTCCCTTTCAAGGGTCTGGCGGCGTCGACGCTCAATGACCTCCAGATCCAGCACCTGCTGTCGCTCGACCCTTCTCTCTTGCAGAGGCTCCTCTCTCTCTCTTTCCAGGCAAATTCTTCTCTCCTCCTCTGCAACCAAACGCTCCAGGTCACGCTCCCTTCTTTCAGCCTGCTCTCGGGGCTCCAGTTCGCGGGACACGGGATGGATCTTCACCTCAGCTTCTGCAGCCACTACATCCGTCTCTCGTGTCCTCTCAAGCCTCACAAGGTCGAGTTGCCTCCTTCCATCGATTTCAGCCTCTCGTGCTTCAAAGTCATGTCTCTCACGTGTCTCTCTCTGGTTGATGGTGGCAACTCGCTCTTCCCTTTCAAGTGCCTGGTGGCGTCGACGCTCAATGACCTCCAGATCGAGCTCCCGCTGTCGCTCGACCCTTCTCTCTCGCAGAGGCTCCTCTCTCTCTGTTTCCAGGCAAATTCTTCTCTCTTCCTCTGCATCCAAACGCTCAAAATCACGCTCCCTTCTATCGACTCTTTCACGGGGCTCCAGTTCCCGGGACGCGCGATGGATCTTCACATCAGCTTCTGCAGCCAATACATCCGTCTCTCGTGTCCTCTCAAGCCTCACAAGGTCGCGTTGCCTCCTTCCATCGATTTCAGCCTCACGTGCTTCAAAGTCATGTCTCTCACGTGTCTCTCTCTGGTTGATGGTGGCACCTCGCTCTTCCCTTTCATGTGCCTGGCGGCGTCGACGCCCAATGACCTCCAGATCGAGCTCCCGTTGATGCTCGACCCTTCTCTCTCGCAGAGGCTCCTCTCTCTCTCTTTCCAGGCAAATTCTTCTCTCTTCCTCTGCATCAAAACGCTCCAGGTCACGCTCCCTTCTTTTGAGCTCCTCACGGGGCTCCAATTCCCGGGACACGCGATGGGTCTTCACGTCAGCTTCTGCTGCCACTACATCAGCCTCTCGTGTCCTCTCAAGCCTCACAAGGTCGCATTGCCTCCTTCCATCAATTTCAGCCTCACGTGCTACAATGTCACGCCTTTCGCGTCTCTCCCTTCGGTTGGTTTTGGCACTTTGCTCTTCCCTTTCACGTGTCTTTCGGCTGTGGCCCTCATAGACCTTGATGTCCCGCTCCCTTTCTGTATCAGTCCTCCTTTCCTGTTCTCTATCTTTCCTCCTTGTATCATCTCTTTCTTCCCACTCCTTAAGCTCATGGTTTTCACGCTCACTTTCCACATGTTCAAGGTTATGTTCCTCATTTGTACGTTGTTCATCGATACGTCTTTCTAGCTCACAGGTCTCACAGTACCTGAGGTCAATTTCTAGTGGTTCCTTTATGTATGACTGATGCGGGACTCTCGAATCCAGGCATTCAGGCTCACGTAGCTTGTTGCTCTTCTCTTCAAGTGCTCTTTGTTCCAGCTCACGTAGGTGGTAGCGGCTTCTCTCTTCTGTGAGTAATTCAGGTTTACGTGGCTGATTGTCACTTCCTCTATCTGCTTCTTGTGGCCGCTGGTTTCTGTCATCCTTTGCTGGTCCTACTGGCTCATGTGGCTGACGGCTACCCCACCGGTTTTGCAGTGGTCTTGTTTCATAGCCCTGGCTGCGACTCCTTATGTCTGCCAGTTGGTCTTGCTGTGGCCCCTCTTGATATTTCCTCTCACCTCTCCGCAGCCTGGGCTCCTGTGCTTCCAAGCTTCTGTGCTTGCGGAGTTGTACATCTCCTCGTCTGTTCGGCTCTGGTGGCTGACGTCTTCTCTGGCTGTTCCGTTGGTCGCATGGCTCTCGGCTTTGTTCTTCATACACCTGAGGGATTGGCTCCCTTCGCTCACTGCTTCGTATTGCATCATTTACGCTTTGTGTGTTACGTTGTTGGTAACTCCCCATTTCCTCTAGTGTTTCAAGCTCATTGGCTCTGGTGTCTCGTTGCAGTTCGGGTTCACAGAGGGGATGGTCATTATTCTCACAGATTTGTTCTTCCTCCTCCTGGAGCTGTCGACTGCTCCCTCTGTTCTTAATTTCAGGCTCTTGGTGCAACTTGCCACTGGATGTCAGCTTTGTTCTTTGCAGAAGGTATGGTCCCTTCGGCTGGAACCAGTAGCAGGCTTTAGCCACTCTGAACACCAAAAGCAGGAATTCATTAAAATCAATATGCCCATCACCATCCCACTCCAGAAACTGCAGAATCTTGTCAACTGTCTGAGGGTCACGTGGCTTCTGCAGGGAAAAAACACACAGGGGAACAAAAAAGGGTGTTTAGGTTTCCTGCTCTTTGTCAGGGAAATGCAAAGACAGGGACAACTGCAATCTTTTCTCCTTCCATCTTACATAGCTTCACTTCTATAGTTCATCAGCAGTTCCATGCCTTTGTTCTCCATTTTCCTGGTTGTCCCCTGGCTGCAGCTGCCCAGCTGTCTTTGGGCACATACTGAATCCCTCTACTGGATCCATTTCCTTCCTACCTTTGAAAGAAAAGCACACTTCCCCATGGCTCATCCTCCAGCTTTTGCACATTGTCTTATGGAAAAAATGAGTTGGAGGATCTGTCAAAGCAGTCAGTGCAAAGGAACATAACTGCTGCTCCCCTTTGCTGAAAGCCTTCCAATCCCACCATCGTAAGAATAACCTCCTCTCCAGGAGATTTTTGTAGTCCCTGCACTCCAGTCTGGGCCTCAAGCCCTCCCCCTTGCAGCAGCACTCACAGCTATGACATCTGCAAACTCCCTCTGGATGAACTCTTGCATCTTCCTGTGGCTGAGGTTGGAGCAGTCTCCATCTTCCTTTGCATATTTGTGAAAGAGGCTGATGATGGTGGAAATGCCGTCTAAGAAGCGAGACATCTTCCTGCAGATTCAAGCAAGCCTGCAAGAAAAGGAACAGGCCTAAGGATTTGTGATTTGTTTGCCTCTGAGCATGGAAAGAGGAAGGAGAATTGCTGCGGTCAGGCTGTGTGCGTTAACGGGATGCTAGGTGCCATGACCCGTGTGTCTGCTCCTATGCCACGGTGAGCTCTGTTTCACCAGGGCACTGGGAAGAAATCCAAATGCTATGGGGTTTTAGTGGGATGGGGAGTGTCTTCCAAGTGCATACTAACGTACTTGAATGACGTTTGATAGGGGATGGCAGGATACCTGCATTTATGGATCGCAGGGAGGGAACTGGGCATGGTGACTCAAGAGATGCCCCAAGAATCTGCCTGCACCCATGGGGCTATACCAGCTACTCGTTTTTCCAGGGTCCATGCTGCTGTCTCTGCCTGGTACTGAGCTACAATGGCTTCTTTGAAGCAGCTTAGAGGCTGGCATGGCCTGAGACAAGATCTAGCTGGGTCAGAGACAGAGTACTTACAGGGAGTTAAAACAAGCCCTGTGGCTGATGCTCCTGTGACCAGTAATAATACAAAACAACTGATAAAGCTTTCATTACAACTGAAGTTATTGGCAGATAGATTTTTGTCAGATCACTTAGGTCAGAGCTGCTTATTTAGTTTTACTGAGATCTGCTTGGCAGAAAGCAGTGCTCCTGTTGCAGCTTTGTGTCTGGAAACCTCAAAAACCACCTTATTCCTTCCTCCTCACTGGATCCCCAAGCTTGTATCAGTGCTGAGATCTCAGCCTGCAGATGGGGAAGCTGTGACCTGTCTGCCTTGCCATCTCTCCAACGTGCGCACACACATGCACACGCATCTGCATATGAAATCCTGTAGAGAACATAAAAATTTCTCCAATCTGCTCATTCCAGCAGGGATCTGACCCCAGACCAAAGTAAGGCACAAAGTCTGGCTCCCTCTTTCATTTTCCCTATGAGAAAAGCTGCCTCTAGACATGGCCACATAACGACATCATGCAGATATCCCAATAACACAAAACAACACCTCAATGAATATAAATGCAAAAGACTCAGAAAATACTGTGGCACGAATGACGCTGCCACCCAACACAAATCCTATAGAAACCATATGTCCTTGCCCAGCAAAGGGTACGTTTCAGGAGTGACTTACCCAGATCGCCAATGGGATCAAGTGGGATTCCTGTGAAGCCGTGCGGAGTGATCGGAGGACCTGAGTGCTTTTATAGGGTCCTTGACGGAGCTACGGAAAGGAGACACCCTTTGTGGACGTTCTCCTGATTCATCTTTGGCCAAGCCCAGCTGCACCTTCACGTCCTCAAACGGGTTATTTAACTTATCATCCCCTTACCTATCATTTTAACCCAGAAATAGCAGTTGCCATGTGGCAATTCAGGCACTGGCTGGTTCCACCTCATCCAGGCTGTAAAGTTATTTTACAGGCTGATTGTATTTCAGATTTTACAGAATTTAGAGTAGCTATAAAACATATATATGCATGAATGGGAGGGTGCATTTTAATGTAAGTGTGCATCTGTGAAGGTATGAATTTATATACGTACCATGCACACACACTCAAAAATACCACCAGGATGAAATTTTGAGGATGACACAGAAGTGCTGGTGGTAGCAGAGCTCACTATGAGCAGAATGGGGACAGTTGAGATCTCTATGGCCCATGAACTTGATGCCACAATACCAGAGATTATTTTTGTTTGCTTTTTGTGCAATTCCCTTAGCACCTTTGGCCTGAGGTTGATGGGATTTGTGTCTGGCTTTTGCTCACAGAAGGACAGAAGAAGACCCAAGTGCTACAAAAATGGTGAAGTGCAGGTGAACAGCAGTGAGATTCCCAAATCCTCCAGATCTCAGCTTGTGTGGGGTCCTTGTAGAGTGTTTTAATTTTGGTAACTTAGAAGCTTCTTATCCTTATGTAATATTGAATATTCGTATTCTTAAATTATGTTGTATTATCCAGGTGTCTGTTGGAATAAACCCAAACCCAAACAGAATACTTTTAAATGCAAAAGTTTGCAAAATGACTTTTCATACAAGGAGATGTCTGTTCAATAAGCAGCGACTTCACATGGACAAAAATAATGAGAAAATGTTTTTCATATTAGATGTTCTCCACAAATTACTTTCATTTCATCTTTACTTGATCTTCCATTACAAATAAAAGCAGAAGCCTTTCTGCTGGGAGGTCGATTCATGTTGAATCTTCATCTGTTGCCCTAGGCAGCTTTCGCTGTAATTGCCTCTACTTGGGAAAAAAAAAAAAAAAAAAGAAGAGAAATCTTTTAACAGTAAATTAATTAGAGACCATCTGATTCCTTTATTCACACCATCTCTCCCAGTACATTGAGCAAATAAGGAAGATACCAGCCATGCCACCTGGGCCTCTGCTGTTGGTTTTGGAGGTAGGATGCTGCCTTGACAAGCATGACGGAGACATTGCAGAGAGCCTTTAGAGCATGAACTTGTCACGCAGCCTTGGGTGAGTGGCTCATCTGTAAGGTAAGATCATACTGGGTGTAGGAGCCTCATTAATTAGTGCTGGTAACACCTTGGGGATACTCATACAAGTACGTATGAAGGATCGTTACTAACCATACTTCATTTTTGAGCTTTTTTTCAAGATTAAATTATACTTGTGCAAATTATACCCCACCTGTGGGATAATAATACCCTTGGGAAACTGTAATTTCATGGTGGATTGGAGTTATTATTAAAATTAGAGTATTACAGTGTGGCTTGGTGTCCTGTAACAGTCTGTAATCCCCCCGCATGGGCTGGGGCAGTGCGGGATGGTCGGGTGCCATGTTAGCCACGTGGAAGATTCTGGGTATCGATGCAGGAAAAGGTACATTGTGTTTCATCCATGCAACGTCATCCCGTGCTTTGCTGCCTTTCTGAGGACAAAGCAACGAGTTTCAAAGCACGTTCTTGGCAGTGCTGGAACTCCCTTTGTTTCAAGGGCTTGGTTTTCCCAAAGGTTCTTTAATTAGATGGGACTTGGGGAGGGTTTTAAAAGCTGATACCCAAGAGGGTGGGCTCCATCCTCCTGCTTCTCACCCAGTTCTGTGCCCATCACCATTTATATAGGTGACCAAACTTCTATTGCATTTGATCTTAGAGGAATTAGGCTCCTCATGTGGTGTATAAATGACCTTTTTTCTTCCAGCTCCTTCCCGGCTTGCAAGACTATTAGACAGGTATTTGTGTCAGTGGGATAATTTTAATGTTCTCCTAAAATAAATCAAAAAACCCCTCTTAATTTCAAATATGATACTCCTGATGGCAAAAACTGTGTTATTCAGAACAGAGCACATAATTAACATGTACCTAACCGGGCTTGGTGTCTGCCTGAACTGGGAGGTCAGTCTTTATATTGATGCTGCAGAAGGTGGCAGCTGGGGACAGACTGACTACAGGGGATGGTTTGGTCTGGTGATTTTAGACCCTAAGCCAGAGCTAATAGGAAGCAAAGAGCTATTGAACTGAGACCTGTTTTACAAGAAAAATGGTGTTCTTTGGAAAATGATGTTTTGAGGGATGTCTCAGATGGAATAGGGTTTTGACATATAGGTGATGGAATTTAAGCCTTGACTCTCCCATTACGTGTCCACAGCTGTCACGAGAACTTATTATTGCTGCTATGTTTTCTCAGTAGGAGAGCGGAGCGATGTACTTTGTGTCTAATACTTTTCATTTTAACATTGTCACTTTTAAAGCGACTCATTTTAGGGGCGGCCGTTCTGGGGGTAGTTTTGAAACGCAGGTTTTTCTGATTCAGCACTCAGCAAATTGTGAAATTCTGGGGTGTCCCAGAGGAATGACGTTTTATTTCCCAGTGAGGTCTCTGTGTGCTGCTTGTCACCGGCCACAGAGCAGGAGGTGCGGGTGCATTTATCATGTGCTGATTTGGTGATAGGTCACAAGTGAAAGATAACATGGTGAAAAACAGGCTGAGCATCACCCTCCCTGCGGGATCCCGAGTCCTGGGCCTGTCTGGTGGTCCAGCACGTCTGAACCCCCTAATAAACCCCACTGACTTCACCGGACTGCTCATACCCTCAGAGTTATTCACATTCCGATGTGCATGTTTGGACAAGTGCCTGAGGACCTGGTACCCTGAACTGAATCTGAGTTTGAGATTGGCTCTGTTTGTGCATAGTTTTGCTTGTCAGTTTTTATCTCTGGCTTCCCAGTTGTCGTTGGGGCTGGATGTACCCGAATCATCATTTTTGCTGTGTTTAATATATTTCCACAATTTTCTTTGGAGAATTCCATAGCTAATAGGGATTTTTGATCTTCATAGCATGCTCCACATTCCCCTTGCTTCTGAGATTATTAATAAGTGAGAATGAATAGGACAAATCCCTCCCATTCAGTTGTAAGCAGCTGTTTATTTTTCTCAGAGCAGACATGAAAACCACCCAGAGCAGATGGATGCTGTCAGGAGTCTGCTCAGGTCGGCCATGCTGTCGTGTCAACCAAAAACTTCTCCTCTCTCTGAAGACATCTCTCTCAGGGATGTCCCATCCCTGCCTGCGGGGAGCAATCCATTCACCTCAGCTAAATTGCAAAGGCAGCTCAGCTGCAGCTCCTCGAGGCTATCCATCCCCAGGACACACCTGCCTCTCTGCAGCCATCCCTCCATCTGCACCCTGGAGCAATCTGGCTGTATGTCATGTGAGGGATGGATGCACCACATCATGGTTGCTCAGAGCCAGGCTGAGGGCACGCTTGCAGTGATACACCAGGACACTGTGCTCGTATGCCTTCAGTTTTATTGCTTTGCTTACACAGGCAGAGGCAGCCTAGCACAGGGTAAGAGGGAAGGTCTCTAAGCATGCATAGCTCAGTACAAACCAGGAGTGGGAAGCTCAGGGCTGACATGGAATTGGACGAGATGTGACAAGCAGAAATGAGAAAACCAGGGTGGGATTGGGCAAACTTTACCTCCTTGCATGGAGCAACAGCCTCAGAAGGAGGAGGCTTGTTTCAGCCTTTACTGCTGTGGTGGCCACTGATACAGAGATTCCAAGAGCTGTTGCTCTATAGCAGGTTGGCTCTGGTGATGAGTATTGTGCTGCTGCTGTGCTGGACAAGATGGAGACTCTGCCCCACCGTGTTCCTGCTCCAGCACTTTGGCTTCAGGGTGCTGGGGGTAAGCTGGGTCCTGCTCTGTGGACTCTGTCTTTGGACTCTGAGGGAGGTTTGAACCCTGTTCTGGTGCCTCAGTTTCTTGGGCCTGGTGGATTTTAGGGTCCTGCTTTGGTGTCTCAGTATCTTCAGCCTTATGGGTATTTCTGTCTTGCGCTGGGGTTGCAGTGTCCAGGATTTCACTTCTCTCTGGATCCCTTTCTGGTACTTCAGTCCCATCATCCTGATGGGTGTCCTTGTCCTGCTTTGGTGTCTCACCCTCCTCAGTTTGATGGGTTGCCTGGTCCTGCTTTGATGTCTCACCTTCCTGGGCTTGACGGGTGTTGTAGTCCTGCTCTGGTGGCTCAGCCTCCTGTGTCTGATGGGTGTCATGGTCCTGCCCTGGTGTCTCACCCTCTTGGGTTTGGTGGGTGTCCCCATCCTGCTCTGGTGTCTCACCCTCCTGGGTTTTATGGGTATCTTGGTCCTGCTTTGATGTCTCACTGGTCTGGGTTTGATAGTTGTCTGGATCCTGTGTCTCAGTGTCCTCAACCTGATTGTCCACACCCTGCTCAGGGACCTGTTGATTGTGGTGGACTGTGTGCGGCTCCGATGGCTGCTCCCCACTTGCCTTCTCTTGTGATGTCACCTCTTGACCATCTTCTGGTGCCTGGTGCTGCTGGAGTGGCTTGTAACAAGCCTTGGCCACATGGAAAACCAGGCTGAGCAACTCGCTGAAGTCAACCCTGCAGTTGCTGTCATCATCCAGGAAGCACAGAACCTGCTTGATGGTTTGGGGGTCCTGGGGGTTCTGTAAAGACACAAATGGTGTTGGAAAGCCTGTAAGCTATTCGCCTCCTCTCTCTGGGGGCTCTCAAGCAGTCTCAAGGTAGAAATCCTGCCCCATGCTCCCAACCCTGGTGGCTCACGTTGCTCCCTGCACTGAGCTCTATGAGCTGCTGGCATTGAGAGAATGAAGAGCTTCTCCTCTTCCCTGCAGATCCTGGGAACTGGAGGCATCTGCGCCTATCCAAGGAAGCCAGGGGTTCTGTACTCCCTCATAGGAGTGCATGGCTTTACGAAACCTACTGTACCCCTGATCCCAGCCCAGGGCCGTACCAGTGGTGGGTCCCAGCTACAGGGCTGGATCCTCACCTCTATCGCATCCCCAAACTCCTGCTCAAAGAGCTGCCTCAGCTCCTCCCTGTTCAAGGGGCTGCAGTTGCCATTGCTTCTGGTGCACGTGTAAAAAGCAGCAATGATGCCATTGATGTTTTCCTGGAGCTGGGCCATCTCCCTGCAAAACTGAGGCAACCTGCAAGAAAACACAGACAAAAAGGGGTTGGTTGGTTGGTTTTTCATATAAATTACTCTTAACCAACACAGCTGAACAGCTAGAAAGAGGAAAAAGAGACAGAGAAGGTCACAGATGAAATGGAATCAGTGTAAGAGAAAGAGGGAGCCAGAAGGATCTCACAGGAAAACCAATCTGACAAACGAAACTCAGCTGCAGAGATGGTGGGGGTGTGGACCAACAAGTGATGGTTGGAGAGGTAAAGGACAGTGAGGCTCAAAAGGCTGGAGCCACACGGTAAGAGAGGAGGGAAAAGAAAATATCCCATTTCTTTTTGTCTGGAGCAGAGCAGAGCTGTGAATGGAAGCTGCCTCTAACAGTCCATCAATAGCGTAATTCCAGATCTCATTATTACTTTTGTCCTTTAAGGGATCTCTGCATTGCCAGCTCCAGGGACACTGTTTCAGCTGGAAGCTTCTGCTTTCCTGCTGGTAGAAAAACCAGACAGACCAAAAAGCCTGCCCAAGCTTACCTGGATGAGGAGCAGGAGTGCTGAGCTTCAGGAGCACAGTCTGGAGCAGAACAGCTCTTGGTCATCTTATATAGAGTTCAGGATCACAGCCCGCATCTCCCAGAGGAGACACCCTTAGAGACACCCTTTCAGCAGGGTGATCTGAAACGTCTTCCACCCATTTACATTGTCATGCCCATGTCTTCATTTGTCTCTTTCTTATTAGCTTTGGCTCTGATGCTTTTCTCTGTTGTTAAAGTAAGATCTTTCCTAAGCCTGCCCCACCTGCAGACATATTTCAGAGGGGTTTAACAGAAAAGGCTATTTTTAGCACTGGGTGATTTAGTTTAAGATGATGCCCAAGCAACGCCCGTGCCTCTTGAGTTTGCAAACGTGTTTTGTGAAAAGCAGATCTCCGGTGACTGACACGCAGGGGAGGAGACGGTCTGGGAGTGCTTGCAGGGTGAATAGAGAGGAAAGAAAAGGAAGGAAAATGAGGATATTGTGATGCTAAGATCAAAGTGATTCCTGCCAGGAACTCCCT